CACGATTCATTGCAATTATTTAAAGAATATATTTTTCCCTTGTGTGGGGTAATTTCTAATGATTTCATAAAAAATAGTATTGAATTTTGTGAGGAATAATGAGCCATAAATGACATCAATTTAATGTGGTATAAAGTTACTGAATGCAATTTTTCGAATTATTGTTTCCCATTTTTAAAAATTTTAATTCAATTGAATTGGCGACACATAAAAAATGTAAAAAGCATTATTGAAATTTTAAAAAATAAACGGATTTTTAATTTTTGAATTTTATTCACTATAATTTTGAAAAATTTTCTCACTTCAAAAAGTTTTTCCAAAATTGTTCTCTGATTGTTGCATTTATTCGACATATTAATCTACAGTTCTGTTAAAAAAAGTGGCAAGAATCTCAAAATATAATATTAAGAAGACATAAGCGTATTTATGCATAGAAAATTTCAATTTTATTGAAATATAAAACCACATTTTAAAACAATAATATAAAAATTATGAACTCAGTCTGCACCGCAAAACCACACATTTTCCACAAACTGACACCCAAGACTAATTCATTCAAAACAAATCTTTACCATAATACCTATTTCTAGTCACACGATTCCTGTTCAAATGATGAATTTAATAATAAAACTATCTTCAATACAAAACTATCGTCATTTGTATTCTCTCGTTTGGACATGCCATTAATCATTGTAGATTTGATTTTATATGCAATTTATAGTCTGCAATGTAGAAATAAATGCAAATGCATATAAATTCATTCACATACAATTTGTTGGTGCCTTGCAAATGCTTGCACATAGCATACAGATCAATTTCAAAAGGCACTTCCATAATTTACAAATAAAAACAATAATGTGAGTGAAAGAGAAGGAACTAAGTATGAAGATGATGAAAATAAATAAACAGAGAAAAACTGTTACAAGGACATAAGGTTCATGAATTAGAAAATCAGATATAACAACTTGTATGAATGAAAAATAAAGATTCTTGCTTACGGGCAGATGATTTTTAATTTAACATCGATTAAATGCTTATGAAAACAACAGCATTATCTTATGTAGGCATTATTAGTCATCTCTGGAAAAATAAGCTCTGTAATTCAATAGCATCAGAAATAATAATAAATAATATTTTTTTGCGTGTGAAAAATGAAGCAACAACAGCTATACAATATTAAGTGTTGGTTTTTGGTCGACATGCGGTTCATTGATGATTTATGTTAAAGGTTTCATACACAATAAAGTTGTTAACTGTTGTTGATGTATTTTTTTTTTTCGTTGATCTTTTAAATGAGTTTTTAAAAGGCATTTAGTAAGATGAGAAGGAAAGAGAACAGTGACTGACCTGCTGGTATTAAAACATTTTAGAACTTCACGCTAAAGTAATTAATGTTTGCAGTAAATCAGTTAATTTGCAACTAAATCAATCACACCCAGACATAATAGCATCCAATATGTCAGAAAGTCTTAATTGCTTAATAATTCATGCCATATTGAGGAAGATGAAGCATGAGATCGTGAAAATATGAGCCTCGATGCCGGATCTCATTCTTTATTAATTATTCAAATTCCTTTCTCAAGCTGCATTCTTTGATGCTGAAATTCTATTCAATGCTAAAGGTCTCCTATCGAACCAGGATACGTGCTGCTTGTTATAAATATCACAAACAATTTGTTTTTCAATACCAGCACACCTTAGCCGTTGATTCACACTTTATGCATACATTTGTTTTGTTTTTTATTTCCCTTTTTGTGAAAGCATACGAATAATAATAATAATGATTAAAGGTTGTCATGACATAAGAAATATTCGAAGAAAAAATAAAATTTTGTTTGATCGAAGAAATTTTTTTTTTGCATCGTAAGATTTTTGGGGTTTTTGTAAGTGATGTGATGTATGGATTGTTATTAGAGGGTTTGAGTTTGATTGGTTCTTTGGTTTAGGCAGGTTTAGGTATTATTTGTAGTCAGGAATTGGATAGATTTTGATAAAACAACTTGATTGTTTTTAAATTTGCATTGACTTATGAGCTGGATCTTTATATTTCTTGAGCTTGATGAAGTTTAAACTGATTTGAAGTCAAATTCAGTATCCTTGATTCATAATCATTGTACATTTGTAAAAGTACTGTGAAAACACTTTAAAATTCAATGAAACAAAAATCAAATAACGAATCCTAATCACATCACTTACAAATTAATCCAGTTCAAAACATATTCTATCGATTTCCTTCAGCATTACCTCTCTTCACTTCTCGAAAAAACATTATTTCGTGCATTTCAAATTTTTTTTCTGTAGTTTCAATTAAACGTTCTTTCAAGTCATTACTGAAAGAATCCACAAAAGTGAACATTAAGAAGAATTAGAGTCGAAAACAATTAGACGTAAAATGAGTGATCGTGAGGATCGTCGAATGACCAAGAAGGCAATTTTGGATCAATGCAAGAGAAATAAATTATATACGACACCGAGATTGAATGATGTTCTCTATTTGCATTTTCAAGGATATCCGAAAATTGAAAATCTTGATGAGTATACGGGATTAAAGTGCTTATGGTTGGAAAGTAATGCCATAAGTAAGATTGAAGGCTTAAGTAATCAACCCAATTTAAAATCGCTGTTCTTGCAAAATAATTTGATCTCAAAAATTGAGAATTTGGAAAATTGTAGAGAATTGGATACGCTTGTGCTTTCACATAATTACATTAAGAGTTTAGAGAACTGCAGTTCGCAAATCTTGCCTGTCCTTAACACCCTCAATATCTCCCATAACCAGCTGAAAAACATTGATGGCCTCGAAGTTTTAAAGCACTGTGAAAATTTATCGATTCTCGACCTTTCATTCAACAAAATCGATGATATGATGGTTATAAAGATTCTTAGTGAAATGCCATCTCTCCATGTTCTTACAATGACTGGAAATCCGGTTCTAAGTAACGTTACAAATTATAGAAAAACAATGATTCTCGAATGTAAGTCATTAACATACTTGGACTCTCGTCCTGTCTTTCCACGAGATCGTGCATGTGCCGAGGCATGGAAACGTGGAGGTTTTGCAGCTGAAAAGCGTGAACATGAACAATGGAATCGTGAGGAGAGACGAAAAGTTAGGAAGTCTGTAAATGCTCTACTTTGTAAGACACGAGGTGAAACAATTTTGCTCGATTCTAGTGATGACGAAACGGAAGAGAATAAAAGTGACGAAAATAATAACAATAATAGCAACAATGAAGGAGAAAATGTAGTCGGAAGGAGTGAGGAAAATGCAATGGATATCTATGAAGGAAATCAAAAGGAATTAATCGATTTATATGAGAAACAGCAGAATGAACTTGATTTGTTTTACAATAACAATAATGGAGCTGGAGATGCAAAGATGATAAGACCCCAAATAATCACTAATCCCAAGAAAATGATTGAGGAAGTCATCAAGGAAGAAAAAATCGAACAAAAGAAAGACGAAATGACAAAAATGCTTGATATTAGTTCTGACCAAGATAGACTGCTGAATATTCTTCAAATGGGTAAAGGAATTGATGGAACTATTTTTGATGCAAAAACGAGTGTTGTCAGGAAAATGCTGATTGAGGAAATTAAGCCAGAAGAAGTTCAAAAGGATAAGATAATTGAGTCCGAAATTATAGAGAGTTTAAAAACTGAGGAATTGAGTCCATCTAATGATGAATTGTCTTCACAATTTGATCAGATTGCAGCGAAATCAGAAGAGCTTGATGAAAGTGCTGGAGATATCGCTACTGGCTCCACCCCAAGTATCCAAGAAGTTGCTTCAGCAATTAACAAATTTACACCAAAAATTGAGCCTATTGCTCTGAAATTAAATGATGTAGCACCACAAATCTATGAATTTGCTCACAAATTTGATGCCCAAAGATTTGATATGGCTCCAAAAATTGTAAAGCTAAGCTCTGAATCTTGCTCTGATAGTATCTTAAAAATTGAAGAATCTGAGGACACACAGACAGTTAAAGCTGATCTAAAAGCTGAAGAAGATAACCCAAAGATTGGTCAAATCTCTCTGAAAATTGTTGAATGTTCTGAAGACCAAGAAGATATTCGTGCAAAAATTGATGAACCTAAACAGGTTGATACCACTCCGAAAATTATAGAATTATCCTCAACATCAACACAAGAAAAAGACAAGGAGGTTCCACGAAAATTCGAACTAGGCCCCTCAAAAATCAAAGAAGCTCCACAAAAAGTAACAAAAACGAATCCATTAATAAAGCAAGCAAAAGTCGAAGAAAATTCAATTCGTGATATTACGATAAATGACTCAAATGAAATGGAAAGTATGTTATGGTTCGATGAGGATGTATCGCAGCAAAATTATGATTCAATTGATTATCAATTACCACAATTATCTGATTGTATCGCCGAAACATTCGCTGAAGATGAAACATGCCAGCATTCTGGTGATTTTACTAAAGTTTTGGAGTTATGTCATGAGCAGAAGAAAGACACAATGCAATTATGTTTCATAAATGAAAATGATAAATTAATGCAATTGTATGATGAAGCTGTGGATCGGAAGTTGGTGAATGAAAGTGATGTTCGTCAATTAAAAGAAATTGAGGCACTGGTTAAAGAAGAAGTTGAGAAAGACGAGGGTCTTGAAGTATTTCCGAATCTTGATGGAATTTTAACAGTCACGAGATTGGATTTACAGGAACAATCATCATTCGATGATGACAATGACGTTGAGGTCCTCCAGTTCTCCCATATTGAGATATCCGAAGTTCATAAAAATGCCGAAATATTAATTGATGGGGTCATTAAGTCTCTTGAAGACATTAATATTCCTTTGTAGCTTAAAAATTTCTCCTTGTGATTGACATAAATAAATTTATTTGAGATGTTAAACTAACGATTTTATGGCCAATTATTTCATATCATGCTTGATCACTTGACATTTTAATTTTTTTATATGAGCAATTAATCAATTACACATCATCATCATCATCTTTATTCCATTACAGGACACTTGAGTAATTTGGCATTATGTCAAGGTCAACCGAAGTACAGTCTACAAAATATGCCGCACACTAGCTTTTCATGTCGTGATAAAATTCTCGGCGGTTACTATGCAGATCCTGAGACGAATTGTCAAATGTTTCATATTTGTGTGAAAGTTGCAGGAGTCGGAGTAAGTAAATTGATTGAAATAATAAGGAAGACATTGAGTAGCATGTGACATTAATATATTGGAAACAATGAAAATTGATGACGACGTTGAATAGATGTTTATATAACTTTATAACATCTTCAATTTTTCGAACAATAGACGCCCATTTTATGTCACATGTTTAATGTCATCTGCAGATCCACTTTTACTTGATGTGAATTTAAATGGAAAAAGAAGAGTTCCCTCTTGTTTTATGACCTTTTCAATCTCAATCTCTATGCTCTTTATTTCTATTTGATATATTTCATTTGATGCTTGACATTTTTAATCTATTCAATGTAAAGTGCATACGGAGATGATAGATCTTTGAGAATATTCAGTAATAGCTTTAACTTTTTATTTGTTAAAAACTAAAAGATATTTGGAATATTTGAAGTTTTTTTGCATCTTTCAAGTTAATTTTCGCATCATTGACTATCAAAAGATGCAAATTATTTTCATTTTTAGTCAAACTTTGAGAAACTTAATAATAATATAATAATAATGTGTGAAGGGCCCAGCCTTTCAGCTGGAGGCACTGCGATTCAATTTGTAAAGAATCTATTGTACCATACCCTTTAGACCGACAGTTTGTAGTGGGATACGAACCACTTGCAAGCTCTGCACATGGCAAAGACACGAGTACGTCATAAGACCTGATGTACCTAGTCACAATTCGTTTGCGCAAGATACCGTAACGAAGTCATCCATATGCTAGTATATCCTTGTATACCAACACACGAACTGAGCAAGATTAGCTAGTCAAAGAATCAACAAACAAACATAAATTTAATTATTTATCACAATAATCAATCTATCTTTAAAACTTCCTCATCTAGATCCAAGATTTCCGATTCTTGTGCCCAAATGGAACTGCTTTTGATCAGGAAGCTCAAATTTGCGCAGATTGGGGTGATGTAGATTGCGAGGCAGCAACAATCTTCTATGGAGCAGACAATTTTGACCTTTATCGTATAGGAACAAATTTTGAAAGCAAGAAATCAAATCGTGCGGACGAGGATGAATCAATTTTCCATCTACAACATGCTGAATCAAGTTTGCATTAGCTTCTATAATTCTTATGGTAAATATATGAAAATGTCTGATTGAATTTTGAACTTTTTCAGGTGATGCACGAAGAAGTAAGCAGTATGTATCAAATCAGAATTCTATTCAGAATCAACCTCGACCTACCACAACTGTAAAAACCACAACATTCCGAACTACTCAACGCACAACTCCCTATACTTTTCCAACAACAACATCAACTACAACTTCGACAACTGTCAGACCAACAAGCACTTCCGCGCCACGAAGTTATTTTGAAAGTAGTACAACACGAGAATTCGTGTCAACTTATAAGCCAACATTACATCCAAAACATTTCATCGATGATAAGGCAGTAATATCAACGTATCGACCAAAAAATGCTAACGATTACTTTAATAGGGCAAAAGCCTCATCAAATGGTAATATTTTAAAGGCTGTAAAAAGTTTTATAAAGTATAATTTATGGCTTCTTTTCAATTTAAAATAGATGATGAAATATTCAAGCAGTCCCAAAGCTCACACTTTTATAACAATAAAAATAATGGCAAAGAAGATTTCGAAGATGAATTTGTGAAAGCAACAAAGTCACCAGCTAAACAAAAAGTGCGTGGACGTCAACGTGGCAGAAGCAAGTTCCGTAATTCAAATAATGTAAATGCAGTAACTTCAGCACCTGTACGTAATAATAATTTCCAAACTCCGACGACGTCTACACAAAGAGTACCATTCGAACAAAATACAAGAACTACATTCACAAATACTCCAATTGTTGTACAACCAATTGTGAATCAAAGACAAAATGTGACACAATTGCAAGCATCAAATAACTATCAATCATCGCAATCAAGGCAAACGACTACATACTCTTCCACAAATGCACCAAATTTGGTAAGAACCACAGACGAGACATTCTTCGATGTTCCAAAAATCAAACAGAAAGTTCAAACCACAAAATTGAAGAGCGCTTCATCACCACTTAATGTCGTTCCATTGGCACCTTCTACAACTACAACGTCATCGACTTTTGCACCTCAACCAGCCGTGCCACAATTCAATTACAATTCATTCCCGCAAAATAACTTTGGTGCCATCCCACAACGTGTTATTATTCCCAGTCAATTAAGTCCCGAACAGAGACTCGCATTACAAGCCTCAAATGGTAACTTAAATAATTTCCAAACGACAGTGACAACGACTCAAACGCCCTCGACAACGACACCTGTCACGCCTCAGCAATTTAACAGAGCTAATCAATTGGGAAATTCGCAAAATGAACAAAAGACAAAAGTCTCGCAACAGAAATTCAATTTCAAGACACAAAAGTATGAGTTCATTGAACCACAGAATCCAACGACACAGTTCTATAATCCAAAATACGAGACAAAGGGGTCAGATCAATCTGGTATTGAAAATATTAACTTGGAACCGACTAGAAGTAACTTTGTCAAGCTACATAATAAAACGTATGCATCAAGACAGACAACGACTGGATTTGATGAAAATAAGCCTACAACATTCAATCCACAACAGTACTATCAATCAGATCAATATCAAAACTTATCACCACGTGGATTCTCATTAGCAGCACAGCAACAGCAACAACAGAAGAAAACTCCATCCCCAGAAATTCGTCCACAAATCACATCAAGATCAGAATCCCGAAATCACAAGAAATTCTCAACTCTCGTGCCGAAAGAAAATTACAACTTTCCAACTACATTCAAGCCAGAGACGTACAGTAAGAAGCATGTAGACACGAAAATTGAAAAGATTTCAAACCCAAACAAATATTACTCACAAATTATCACTAATGCTCCGACAGTTGGAACTACAACAACAACAACTTTAGCACCAATTCCACAGCAATACAATAATAATAATAATCAATTTAACAGTCAAACGACCACCTCGAGATACGCCAATTATTTCTCAACAAGTACCACACCGAGACCATTGGGCATCGGCGAAGAAGATGATGGACTGTACAGACCTGATTTGTATGAGAAAGATTTATTTAAAAATAAAGCAAGATTGCCAACAAGAACTTCAGTTCCATCATCGACACCTGTGAAGAATACTTTAGTTCCATCTTCGACACCTGTGAAGAATACTTTAGTTCCATCATCGACACCTGTGAAGAATTATTCAGTTTCATCATCAATACCTGTGAAAAATACTTCAGTTCCATCATCGACACCTGTGAGAAATACTCCATCATCAATACTTGTGAAAAATACATTATTCCAATTCTATCAGACATCAACCACATTAGCACCATCAGTTAGAAATTATATCCAAAATAGTGATGAAGATGAGTTCCTTAAAACTGAGCATTCACAAAACATTTTCGCTAGTGGAAATCAATTGAGAGCTGAAAAGGAGAAAGAGAAGATCTTTGGCAAGACTTATGAGCAATACTCAGAGACATCCAGTCCTCGTCCGTTTTCCAAACCAACCCTTCCACCGACTACAACTCAATATACAACTACAACTTTTAAAACAACAACCAGAACGATACCCAAATCGTCGTCATCAGCAAAGCCTAAAGTAGATAAAGATGTCAGTTACGACTATCAATATTATGACACGAATGGCGATCATGAATATCCAGAGGTAGAAGCTATTGAGGATTTCGGCAGAACAGTAAAGAAATCAAGCACCAGTAATTGATTCCTTGTGTGAATTTTATGTCAGAACTTAGAAATTATGTGTATGCATTTAATGTCTCTGCGAATGTGAATGAGTATGTGCGACTGCAATGTGATAGAACTTTTGTATCTTAAAAAGGGATTTGCTCTATCTCTATCAACATTTTTTAAATTTTTTTTTTCTTCTAAGATGCCAGCTTATGATTATTATTATTAATAATATATCTTGCCGTAGGACTTTATTTACTCAAATAAATCTTTTACTTAATATCTGCTTTTGTATATAGTTTCAACATAATATGACTTAATATATCTTATATCGTTTTAAATTTATGGAAGAAGTTAAGCAATCCATTGAATCTGAATTTATAAAAATAGATCAAGAAATTTGTAACCGAAACGGAAGTTGAAATCAATGTTTAAGACTCATCCAGCATTAAATTAAGCAAAATATCAAAAAACTTTAAACGAAAATCCATAAAACCTAAATCAAATTTAAAATCCAGGAACTTAAAATAAACATCATATTTTATAACCTTAAAATCAATGAAAACTTCCAGAAAAACGAATGTAAATTGACACTGCCTTTAGGGGCCGTTCACTTATTATGTTACGCAAAAAGACGACTTTTCTCATCCCCCTCCCCCCCTTGTTACAATATGTTACAACTCACAACCCCCCCTCTGAACGTTCATAATTTCATTTTATTTCTTTTGAATATAAAAAGACGGTTAAATTTCTTTTGTATTTTTTTTTCTTAAACATCAAAATACTGTATAGCTTAATAGGTCATGTTTTGATTGATACTATTAGTATTCTCATGAATTATAGGATTAAGATATAAAGCAAAAATTTGTTTTTTTTTTGAAGAAAATTCAAAAATGTCATGAAAAATATTATGCCTGATCGAATTTTGGAAAATTCAATCAACTTTGAATGTAAATATCACAACGATGGGATCATATTAATCATCATATGAATGACAGATTTAGAGAGATTTACTTTTAAACTTATAATTGATTTAATTTTGAAACTTTCCACAAATTATGATTGTATTTTAAAGTCTTGTAAACCAGTTTTCTATTGATTTGTTACTTTATATAACAAAAACTATGTATTGCTTAGCTATCAAAAGTGATCTGGACATTCATAAATCATTAAAAAGGTGGAAAATTCAAAAAAAATATTTTTGGTGTGAATTTGTAAACAAATTTTAAAAGACAGACGACAATTAGAACGTTACATACCCCTTGACACACCCCCTATGTTACATTGTGTTACAATTTTTCAAACCCCCTCCCCCCTAAAATGCGAAGTTAATAAGTGAACCGCCCCTTAATAAATTAATTAAAAACCAATTTCTGCACTAATAATAAGTTCAAAAACAATATTTGCACACAATTTTCATCTCAAATCCTGATTACCTATCAAATATCCGTATTTATTTTCCACAATTAATCATCCTTAAAAAAACCAGAAACTGCCTTCTGTACTCTAATGGAATAAATGTATCAAATTAAATGATATTATATGAATAAATAAAAATCATTTTTATATTTTTTAATGCTAGTCTTATCAAGTCTATTGCGCAATTACAGATGAAATTCCTATTTTCAGCACATCATATTGAATCCTTTCTTTGTCTCTCTGCACTTGACATCTCATATCTTACAGCCTACTTTAAAATTTCTATATAAATGCATTGGATTCTTGAGATCATCGTTAGTATTATTTGATATCTAGTCAAGATGACTAACAAGGAGAGACATAGATTTGTTCTTGTGCAATTATTTGTAATTCTAGTGATTGTCAATTGCTCATTCGGTGATGTTGTGAACAGTGGGGTGCCTCATGATATTAATATAGGTTCTACTACCTTTAAGACAATGCTTATGAAAATTCTTAAAAATTTTGAATTTTCTGGATCTCTTCCAGTTGAAACAGATTCCCAGCCGCTATCATTAATCGTCGTAGAGGACTCAGCTTATGATAAGAGGAATAATGTGAACAGATTTAAAAGTAAGGTTTTCAGTCCAATAAAGACATTAGGATTGAAATATCAAGATTATTGTGAATTTCTTAAAACTAGATGACTAATACTGAAATTGTCTTTGAACCTTAGATTTTATGATAAACAAGGATCAGCCAGAGAGGTTTGATGATGAAGCTCGGGACGAGCAGATCTACTACATTCCGAGAGTTGCATCTGGCAAAAAACGAGATCTATTAGCATATCCTGGAACCAGAGTGTATGAAATCTTTTGTTTTAATATTGATTAAAAATAATAATTCTTTCAAAACGCGACCAACCCTAACCTTAAGGGTTAATATACCCCACCATACCCTGAAGCTAACCTCAATTCCGTTCATTCCTACTCCCCAAATTGAATTTAATATTTCAAAACTGTTTTCAGGCGAGTTGGGAACTCAAATTTCCGACCTCAGACATCTTTTGGATACAACAGCCGACCTGCACCATGATTATTTACTGGGCTATACTGGTTCAGACTCTTATGAATTTACGATGCGATGAAACAGTCAACAGTCTCATGAATAAATGATTAGAAAGTTCTGTTAATTGTTAAATGTACTCAAAATAAAATCACTTAATATGGAACATAAAATAAATTGATTTAACGGGATTTAACTTTATTCACTGCTTTAATTTATTATTTTAATAGCTTAAATTTTTCAACGGCTTTTTCAAATTCAAAATTTTCTCTTATAGTTACAATCCAACCACGTGTTTGCAAAATAAACAAAAAATAATAAGTCGAAAAAATAAATTTTATTAAATTAACATGGAAATTGAGGAACTTCATCCCTGCCAGCTTAATAATCTTAAGGAAGAACGTGAGGAGAATGGATCTAATGAATTGATAGAGGTAAAATGGCATTAAAAAGCAATATAAAACCAATTTGCAATTAAATTTACAACTTTTACAGGATTTTGAAGATCAGCTTGACTTTGAGGATGATTATAGCGACGACGAGGACTATGATTACTGTAAATTTGATTACGATGAGTCAAGAAACAAAATCAATACTGTAGGATACAGTGCGAATTCACAAACTTCATCAAACTCAAATACTGCAAAGTTCCAGTCGTCCACAAATCTTTTTAGGAAATATGCCAATAAAATCAGTGTAGATAAGTATGAAGGCAAGTCAAATAATGATAAAAATCGCATTAAAGATAAGCAGGACAGAGCAACTGCAGAACAAGTCATGGATCCAAGAACTAGAATGATTTTGTTCAAATTACTTAATCGTGGATTTATTAATGAGATCAATGGATGCATATCTACAGGAAAGGAAGCAAATGTTTATCACTGCACTAATAAATTTGGTGATGAATTTGCTATAAAGATCTACAAAACATCAATTTTAGTGTTTAAAGATCGTGATAAGTACGTGACAGGTGAATTTAGATTCAGACATGGCTATTGTAAGAGTAATCCTCGAAAAATGGTCCGTACGTGGGCTGAAAAGGAAATGAGAAATTTATTTCGTATGCATAAAAATGGATTGCCAGTTCCTGAGCCAGTTCTACTTAAATCTCACGTTCTAGTCATGACTTTTATGGGAAAAGATGGATATCCAGCACCGAAATTAAAGGATGTCGATCTATCAACATCAAAAGCTCGTGAATTGTACAGAGATTGTGTTATTTTAATCTGGCGTCTATACAATATTGTAAAGCTAGTTCATGCTGATTTATCAGAATTTAATATCCTTTATCACAATGAAAATGTCGTTATTATAGATGTGTCACAATCAGTTGAGCAAGAACATCCACATTCATTTGAGTTCTTAAGAAAAGATTGCACAAACATCTCTGATTTCTTTAGAAGAAAAGGCGTATCCACAATGACTGTTAAGGAACTATTTGATTTTGTTACTGATCCAACAATAAAAGAGAATAATATGGAAGCATGTTTAGAAGCTATATCCGAGAAAATTGCAAATAGAAATATCGATGAATTAACAGAACAAGAAAAGATTGATGAGGAAGTATTCAAAAAAGCCTTCATTCCTAAAACATTGAGTGATGTCTATGATGTCGAACGGGATGTATTTGGCAAGAAAAAAGGTGAGAAGGAAAATCGCGAAGAATTAATCTACTCAAAAATCACTGGACTCGACTCAAATAAAGTAGCTGAAAAGCCTGAAGAAAATAGCGAGAATGAAGGATCAGAAAGTGAAGAAAATAGCGACGAGGAGGAACCGAGTGAAGGTGGTAAAACAAAATCAAATGGAAGGGATAAAAATGAGACAGCAGAAGATAAAAAGGCACGAAAGAAGGCACTTCGTGAAGATAAAGCTACTAAAAGGGAGAACAAAACTCCAAAGCATGTAAAGAAAAGGAAGGAGAGGCTGAATAAGAAGAAATAAATTAATTAAATTGAAGTATGTAAAGTTGCTATCCTGAAATAAAAATGTTATGAATTGCTGATTTTTATGAATTCAAATATTTTGCTGTTGTATGGTTTCAACGATAAAAATTTGAATGTTTAATAAAACCCTACAATTCCTCCAAAACTATTGCATGGTTTTGAACATTTCAAAATTCCGTTAAAATGTTATATTTCTCCATACTTTCAATTCTACTATATCTTGCTCTTTTATTGTTCATTTAACAAGTAATTATTGTCCAGTAATACCTTCCCAAATTCACCAGTTCTAAATGCTCTAATAAAATGATTAGCAGCAGCCAGTAAATTAGGTCTTTCCTCAACAACATTGTCACTGTAATTCTTTAATGCTATTTTCTTGTCATACTTCCGAGCACATGACAGTAAGGCATAAGTAATATCATCTGTCGGTTCCTCAAGTCCCATTGTTTCCAAATAACTAAAATTTTGATTCTTATTAAGCCAATAAAGTAGATAATCAGCAATATTTTCTTCTCCAACTAAATGATCTTGGAAGCATGAACAAAGTGCTAATTTCATGCCTGTTTCTATGTTCTTAATATTAGGCATAAGAATTCCAGGCGTGTCTAATAAATAAATTAATGGATCTTCACAGATTTTAATCTTCGTTAAAACACTTCTAGTAATGCCAGCTACAGCGCCTACTCTTGATGCTGCCTTCTTATTTAAATGCCTATTTCTGAGAACATTAATTAGTGAGGATTTTCCTACATTCGGAACTCCCATAATCATTATTGAATGCTCCTTTACAGTTTGTCGATTAAATCTATTTGATTCTTGTATCATTTGAATAGCTTTAGGGATGATTTTCTTAATTCCAGTACATCTTTGATCTTTACAATTTGTGAAGAATGTTGGCTGTGATGGGATGTTCCTTTGTACCTTTAAAGTATCCATAATTTTGGATTTAAGCTCCTCTGGCACGAAATCCTTCTTATTAAGCACTAAAATACTAGGTTTGGCTGTTAGTAACGAGTAGTGTAAGTCATTATTTCTTCCAGACATCGGTATTCTTGCATCATGGACTTCAATAATGCAATCAACACCTTTAAGTTTCTGCTGCATTTGTTTTGCGCCTATAAATGGTTAATTAGATGCTGACAAGTTTTTCATAATATTGCTGCTTATTAAAGCTTACCTTTTGCCATATGTCCTGGATACCATTGTATTAACTGCTTATTAATTATCTGGAAACTTTGTCTAAAATTATGCATCCTTACTTTTGGACCCAAACGAAATGAACTTAATAAACAAACCGAACTGAACCGAAATTATATGAACAAAAAAAGATTTAAATTTAAAAAATACGTTAATTTTAATAATTCTCTTAAATGGTATTAAGCAGTGATTTTATGTATTTTTCTCGATTCACTGCATGTTTAACAAGATCATCAAACTTTGCTGGATCAAGGAAATTTCCACCAGGCTGATGAATATAATTAAACTTTCCATCACATGTCGATATTGTAATTAAAGAATCAGCTATTTGTTCCTCATCGTCTGTTGGGTCTGCTGTTAAATGATCCTCAAAGCTCATAAAGGTACTGGCAACAGGCATACATTTAAGATTCAATGGATTTCTGATTTTGTCATCAGCTTTAATTATTTTTGTATCCAAGTCGTATTCAACTTTTGGTAATCTGACAGTCTTTAATGCACTGCTTAAAGCTAGAACAGCAACATCCAGTACAGATCCACTGTCATCAAGGCATATTAAGTCACAGTATAAGATCCAAACAAGTCGTCCTTTTGCTATGCATAAATCATTAGGATCCAGACATTCGGAACTGACGAATATGTTAAAGAGTGTTTGACTGAGGACTTGAGAATCATTAGATACCCCAACTGCACGATATTTTGGTGAGCATAGCTTATTTAATTCAATATTTGGAACTATATATCCGATGTTTGGATCTATATTATCAGGTTCAGCTAGTTCTGCTTTAATTCCACAAATTACTGTCGTATTACCAATCTTCACTAATGCTGATCCTTCCGTCTTCTTTATTGAATTCTTGTTGATTATAGTCGATCGAAACTCATATAAATCTCTTCCGTCCGGTCTTATGCTTTTATCTAAGTGTTTCTTTAAGAATTTGACTGGATTTATAGCTCTAAAAGTATATTGTCAGTTAAGGTATTTAATATAATGATTTGTGACTTACTTGTACAGCTCTTCTTGAGACATTTTTAATTAAACTGGATATTAGCCTATAAATTGATTTATTTGTTGACATGAAAATCTATCTCCCAGGAAGAATAACAGTTAATTTTTGAATCAGATTTGGTCTGCTTGGAATTAGCTAGTTTTTTGGAATTCTTGTTTTTTTGTCTGGCTGTTATTTTTAAAACTATTTTGTTCAAAATTTAAAAACCTGTTGAATTTTTAAATCATTTAAAACCACAAAATACGGCATAATTAAGACACTGAAGATGATGAATCAAATGCCTATAGTCATCTGTATGCGTCACTTATTGATCCTTATTCTATTTGCCTTTCATAATTGACATTCGTCATCCCTGAATTTTTTGTTTACATCGAGTGCAGAATTTTCACATCATTGAAAATTATTAATTATTTAGTGTTAAACGATGGATAAGCTAACATTTCAGAAAGCAATCGATAAATTAAAGAACACAGAATGCAGGTAAGTTGAAGTGCAGAATCAATTAACTCGATTTACATGTTTTTTAATGATTTTTCCAGCTCAAAAGAAAAAATTCAGAAATTTGACCAAATTTATCAGTCACTAAGCTCATTAATCAACAACTCGAATTACTGTACGTATTTAAAGAATGCTATACAAGTATTACTGCTGTTCTGCGAGGATAATGACTCAAATGTCAGGATTAGTGCTGAAGAAAATCTCAACAGAATTATCAGAAATTGTGAGAAAAATCATCAATTTACGATAATATTGATTGAACTATATCATGAAATAAAGAAAAACGGAAATGAACGGTAATTTAATGATATACAATTATGACTCATGAATTATTAATAATGTAAATTTATTCACTAGATCGCTGAGGATTTGTCTGAATTTATTTTCACATTATTGTCATCATATTAAGCACAGGAAGAGAAAAGTTTATGCACAAAATCTAGTTCCCTGTATGCTGGAAATAGGCAAAAGAAGAGAATCATTAGTGATTGAGACATTTGTGGACTTTATTAAGGCATTCTCAATGAATTTACTCAATTGTCTTAGCGATTATGAAGTCATAAAAGTAACGGAATTGTTTATTGACAATTTGTCTGTTGAATGTGCAATTAAAAGAAGGTGTGCCGCACAAAATATTGTGACTATCTTGGAATATTCAAGCAAAAAGGTCTTTGTTCTTAAAACTGTCGTAATTAGAGCACAGGAGAATTTATCAAAAAATCATCAGAATAATAATCCAGTTCTTGGAACTTTAGGATTATTGCGACTACTTGTGCCTCATTTAATTGATTCCAATGATCAATATCAGAAAGTTATTGAAATTCTTGAGACATGCTTGAATTTCCTTAAAAATGAAACAAATCATTCCTTAATTAACGCTAATTTGGAAGTTGTTAATTCAATTCTAGTTTCCAGTATATCCAAAAGTGAAATGAAAGAGATTCTTTGTGATGATGACAAAATGGTTCATAAAGAAATGCTTTTATCAAGACGTACAGCTATTTTATCTTCATCCTATGAATCAAGGAAGTCTAGTGCTGAAACAATAAAAATGCAAGATAGTTTTCTTCAAGTTCCACATTATTCTATGCAGTCTACGCCTAATAAATCAATAGGAGATTTTAGTGACGTTGAAGGTGATTCTTTTAAATCTACTGATTTTGATGCTAATGTTCCTACATCCTCGTCGCCAAACGCTTTTAAAAATGTCATTGGAGCTGCTGAAACTATGTCTATTAAATCAACAGACTCGATTAATTCATTTTTCAATACAATACTGACACATTCGAACACAGATGCAGTCACAAAGTTCTTCAGGAAGTCCTCAACTGACTCGCCAGTACATCAATCAAAAATGAGCGAAAGTGCGGATGAAAAATCACTGGATCTATCTTTAACTAATTTAAAAGATGACAGCATTGAAGTTTTTGATTCTCAAACCTTACCAGAAACTGGAGAAATGGCAATAGAGGATGATACTTTAGAATTGACAGTAGATACAACAGAAACAGCATGCATGGATGCAAAAGAGCTTTTTATTGGCTCCTTATACGATCAATGTGTAGTTGATTATATAGTACGTTTAATCTCATCAAAATTCTTACTTGATGGACTTCCAAAAGCGTTAATTAGTGACCAAATTATTCGCGTTTCAATTAAAAATCTCGCATTATCTGTGATTAGTGTTTGTGTGGAACTTAAAAAGGATGTGCTGTTATTGAAATTATCAAAAGACTTTACCGACGAGTCAATGATGGTTGAGAGCTTGTTAAGCTTTTTAATTGATGAAGATATTCGATTAGAGGATGAAGATAATAAGAAGACGAAAAGTAGTGAGTGAAAAATGCTTTTTTAACGTATTTGTAGAATTTAAATTTCAACGGTTTTGTAAAATTTGTATTTTAACGTATTTGTAGATTTTGAAGCTTTAACAGTTTTGTAAAATTTAAAGTTTTAAATGGTTTTGTAGAATTTAAATCTAATTCTTTCTCTAATCTAGATCCTCATTTGGAAGTAGCACAAGCGACTTCCAGTGAACAGCCTCAAAGCTTCCTAGAAATTAAGGATGATCATTTTGGGGAGTGCACAACAGCAACATTCCTAGACTATTTTTCACCATTAAATAATAATCTAGATGATCAAGGATTAATATCATTAAAGAATCGCATGTACGAGGAAAAAACTAAGGATCGTGATGAAAGTACTAAGAAAATTAATCGAGAATTGTGTCAGTTATTGTCTAGATCTGAAGGAAGCGATTCAAAGAAATTAACTCCAATGATGGAAACGACTTTAAAATTGCCGGAAGATAAAGATTGTCAATATATTGTAGATATTCTTTTATATGCTGCACACGGAGATCCAGTATTAAGAGCTAATGTCTATACAATCATTGGCAATTTTATTAAATCTGTTCTAGAAAGAAATCTCGATTATAACAAAGTTATAAGCAGAAATGAGTATGTGCGACATTCCTTAAAATTTAGCACTCTTATCGACCATTTACTGAATGGAATTCGAGATGAGATTAATTCAGTTGTGAAACAAACTCTTGTGGCTTGGGAAAATTGTATAAATCTCATGCTAGCTGTGATGAATGAATCAGAAATTGAGAATGTACTGAATAAGTTGTTGATGACTTCATATAACAAATATTGGCTGGTTCAATGCAAGTACTGTGATGTGATAACTAAAATTAATATTGAAATGCTGGGAAGTGTAATTGGTGTGGATCGGGCTGATTCGTATGAGGTGAGTTAATCTCTGGATATAAATTAATCCAACTCTTCACCTTAGATTAAATTTGAAAATATTTTGACAGTTGTTTTAATATATTTCGACCGTTATTTTTCAATTAGAATCAAAGAGAGTAAATTAATTCTTAAAAATCATGGACTTTATTCAGCTTCTTCTTTATGGCTTTCTGTTTTCTTGTCCATCAAATTGTGCAAAGAACTCAAGCTAATATCTGCTTCCGATTCAATTTTTGATAGTTTAAACATTGTTCCTTCCCTGAACAGTTTTTGAGCTAAGAATTGAAAAACTTTATTTAACGACGACTCATCCTTATTGATCTCAAAATATTTCATTCTTGGTTCCCAATCCTGCTTTGACTTGTCGCTTGAAATTCTTCTAGACTTTGAATGTGCCTTATTTCCACACAAAACGATTGGAATTTTTCCATTAAATGCATTAACTCGACGATACCAATGAAAGACATTATCGTAGCTACTTGATGCTGTAACGTCAAACAATATCAATGCACAGTCTGTATTTTTAAAGAATGAATCTCGTACATTTCCAGTTGATTCTTGTCCATCAGTGTCGCGGATATTGAAAGAAATTGATCCAAAATTTGATGAGAATAAGACATTGTAAGAATTGTCTGTGTTGATTTCGTGCGTCATTTTTGAGACAAAGTTGCGAATTAACGAGCTTTTCCCGGTTCGAACATCGCCAATGACGATGCACTTAAAATTTGGAATGTCTGACAGCATTTTTGATTGATTTGAAGAACGTTTTTTGCTGTTAATTTTAAATGTCAATAGTTGTTTTGATCGAATTTTCGGAACTTAAGTTTTACTGAATTTTCAACTCGCAAAATTATCTTGATTTTGAAACGGTTTATAATATTTCGAATCATTTTCGTTAAATTTTGAACAAAATAGTTTGAATTTTTCAAGACAGTTACATTTTTAATCAAAACTTAAACAATTTATCTCCAACAGAAATTAATTCGTCAACAATTGTTCATTCTGATCAAGGATAATGATTTTCGCGTGAGAAATCATTCAAGTGAGTCATTGTCAGACTGGATTTTATATCTGACTGAACATCGAGAGTATAGTCAGCAAAATGAGGACAAAAGCTCATTAAAGCAGTTTGTGGAGCAAAATTTAATAAAGTCTGAAGCACTCATCATCAATTTATCCAATGATCATAATCCATACGTAGAACTGAAGCTTTCAACAGTCCTTTATGAACTGAGTAACTTATTAATGGAGATAAAAGACAAGAATCAGCAGTTTGGAACGATTTATGCAATTAAAGTTATGATTAGAAAATTCAGTCCATCAAGTTACGGAGCAGTTTGGAAGGAATTTAATATCCTTAACATTCTTTTGAGCTTTATAAATAAGAATCCAGGCATAGCTCTCGATATCTCGTGTCAATGTGATATGTTAGAATTCATATCGTCCTTAATAGCTGTCGAATGCTTAAATACAGGAAATGTTAAGGACAGCAACAACGAATTCATCAAGCATTTAATGAAAATTCTCAACATTTATACGCATTTAATTAGTAACATGAAATTAGTCATTATCCCCAAGACTATGGGCGATCTCTTCATATCAACTAAGGAACATCCATTTGTTAATAATTATGGACATTTCAGCAGTGATCATTTCTACTTAAAATTCTATTTAGTACTGAAAAGCTCGTATGACTCATATCGAATGACTATTAATCCTGAAGCTGAAGTTAAGCTTAGACAATTGCTGCATTTTGTAATGTTAAATCTACAGATATTATTGGAATCAAGGTTAATGGTTAAAACTGATAATGAACTGATTGAGGAAATTGTTGGATATTTAAATCATCTTATTGGATTCCAACCTAAAGATTCTATAATGACGACTAAAGTGCTACTTAAATTCTTATTTCAAAGGAACTTTCACAATAGAAAAAGTGATATCGATGAAGTTTCGAATGCTGCTGTAATTTCAGACACAAAAACAGTTTTTGAGAAATTTGAGATTTTTTCAACATTTGATTCCGTTTTGGTCACTCAAAATTCTGATAATTTAATTAAGCTATTTGATCCTTTGGTCATTCATTCACTAAGGCTGTTTACCAAATCTAATGCTGTTCTACAGACAAAGGTTCTTGACATGTTGTGCCAATTATTAGAATTTAATATCAATTACATGAAATTAGATGCAAAAAAGGTTTTTGTGGATATTGTGTTGAAGCAGATTGATTATATTGAGGATGGATGTGTCGTAGACAGTGAAATTTTGGCACCAAAAGTTGTAGAATTTTTAATTTATTTAACAAAATTAAAAGAAAAGAAAATCTTAACAATGCCAAAAGTCATTAACATTATTGACAATATGCTTGCATCTGCAAATGGAATCACCAAGAAAAGTGGCGTGGATGCCTTAAAAGTCCTAATTATTGACTTATTCTTTCACAGTAATAAGATTCCTGCAAATAGCGAACCAGAAATTATTGAAGCTTATTTTAAAGACATAAATGCACAAAGAGAAGTCGCAATCAGCATGTTAATGAAGTTTATACATTACAAAGAGATCCAAACTTGTTTTGAGTGGATTATGATGAAAATTAAGGTTGTACAGTCAGACATCCAAATTGATGAAAATGAATTGTATCAAAACCTGGTCCAAAATTTAAAGGAAGACTCAACTATTGAAGGATCATTTATATCCTCTATAGCTAAAAACATTCTGATAGAAAGCAAAAACTTTAAGACAATAATTGGACATTACTGGAAGTTGCTAGATTCTCAGAATGATTCCGCACTGGATGTGCTGATTTGCCTTCAAAATAATATTATTAACATTGCTGAAGAGATATACTTAATTAATCACATTAGGTTGCATCACCAAAAGCAGGAAAATGACGGAGATGCAATCATCAAGTTCCTTAAATCTCATTTAAATTTTATAAAGTTTCTGATTGGAACTGAGAATGTCGATGTCCTGAAATTAAATAAATTCATTAGATTCCTGAAATTTGACAAATATGCTACCTTAAAGCACCAATTGACGGAACTGCTGGATGTTAAATTAGTCATTGAGAGTTCTAGAGACATGACTTTAAAATCTGTTATGTATTTCTTCTTATTACTGGATATAACATCGATTGACATTGATGAGTCACTTGGATCTTCAACAATTTTAATTAACAAACCTAAAATACTTGATCAGTTCCATAAAAACCTCTTCGATGTCCGTAAAAACATCAGCAACTGGGAAAGTAACGAAATCATGAAATTCTTTAAAGACACGCCAAAAATTGAAGTACTACTGAATCATGCCCATGACTCACTGCTTAAAAGTTTACTTGAGGATGAAGAAATTTCAAGAATTGTTATACGTAAACTTACCGCCGTCAAAATATCGGCAAATAGACTAAAATTCATTCTCGAAAATGTGCATGAAAGCTGCCTTATTGATTCCTTGATCTTCCTGATCTCGTTCGCATCAAACAATGAGTCTAAAATACTACAATTAGTGATTGTTAAGAAGCTTAGTCTAATTAAGAATAAAATGATACTTAATTCCGATGAAAACCCTAAAATATCAACAGATGAGCTTGAAAGGATGAAGGCAAAATTGATTGACTTTAAGTTGGATAGTAAATATATGATTCTAATGGCTACAATTAATGATTTAATTAAATTTCTGAAGAAGGATGTAAAAGTTGATGTCGATTTTGCGGAACTGACCAAAAATATCGACGAAAATTGGCTTTTACAGGAAGTTGAAGGAACACTGAGTTCAAATTTTAAAAAACCTTTAAGAATCGCCGAAGTTTTATATGAAATCAAGTCAGAATCTAAATTATCAGCACTATTAAGCCACGAAAGTTTTAATATTGATTTATTTTCGACCATAATTCAAGTCAGCTTTAAGAAAATGCTTAAAAACTTTCGTGTCGACTGCATCCAAATTAATCCACACTTAAATTACATGAAGATGCCTCCTTTATTAAAAGCTGCTTTAAATAGCATTGGAAGTCTTTTAAATGAGAACTTGGACAATAAAAAAGTTGTAAAGGCATCCAAAATACTGCTGGATCTTATGGACTCGATTAAAACTCTTCATGATACAGCATTAATCTATGTTGAAGCTAAATATGCTGAAAAGTTCATAACTGAGAATATCCTTAAACCTACAATAAATGAAGCATTGCTGAAGTTCCTTCAAGTCATGATCAACAGGCTTAATTTAGTAGAACAAAAGGACATCCTTGTTAAAGCCATTCAATCTGTATATGCGAATGAAATAATCAATATTAAGGAAGTCGATGATGCCTTAATCACTTGGATTTACAATTTATTGCAGTCATCGCTGATTAATACAGATTTTATAGCTAGATATCAACATCCACAACTATTTGATGAACTTGAAAATGAAGAAACAAAATCTCAAATTGAGGTTTTTAAGCAGGCAATATTCATAGCCAAATTACAGGAAGCATACACAGACGGTGAATTCCGATTGATTTACATTTCGTCGTATGCTAAATATTTAATAGAATTGTCACTCGACTTGTCACGCTATGTCCTGCGGATAAATAAATTCTATCAATTTACAGTCACTCCATATGAGATATTATTAAGCTATCGATCAGGTGACGACTTGCTGGATAAGACAAAATTAAAGCTCAAGCAGATTCCAATAGAATATCTTAGTGACAGTGACTTACTTGAAAGATATGTCAGAAGAATTAATCGTTATGGATATACGCAGCGTCAGGAATTCGAGGAGATCTTTATGACACTTTTAGTCATGCTGAATCAATTTAATGACATGCAGGATGCTGAAGAACAATTTTATATTAAACAGCTGTGTTTGCAGACAAATATTGATTTATTATTGACATGCTATCGATATACATCGAATGATAAAATTGGCAGTTCCAATTTTGGACATATTAATCGACATCCTGAAAATTGGTCGAAGATTGATGTCATTGGGGTCAAAAAGCTTCATCACATCCAAGAGCTTTTAAGTTCAAATTTGAATGTCTTTTATCAGCCAAATTTGGAGCGAGTTGGTGGAGACAATAACGTAATTATGACTGATTCCTATGACATGAATCAGTTCTCTCTAAATTATACTTGGAATATGACAAATGAAGTTCCATTAAAGAAGACAAGTTACCTTATAAAGAATCTAACTTATATTCATGCTGAAAAGTTTGGAATTGACTATAAAAGTGCTTTACATCTAGTCTATGACATTATGACCCAGATGATTGATGAGAATTATGTTCTAATCCTGCCACAGCTTGCTAAATTGATTGATGTACTTGACAATAATGATCAGTTCCGATGGATTAATAAGAAAATGTTGGCTATGCATGAATCTGTCTGTGCTTTAGACACAATTTCTCATCAATATATTGTCTACCTACTTTGTCGATCGTCTGCTGTTCTAGTTCCATCTCTCAGTGAAATTCAGCAATTGATTGCTATAATTAACAAGTATCTTGCATGCAATCACATGTTTGTAAGGAACGCGACTCTCCATGGACTTTTGTGTCTCTTTGAAGTTTTAAATAAAACAAATACAACAATTGGAGGCATTAATGATGAGATTAAGCTGCTGCGAACAGCTATTGTGAATTATACGAACAAAAATGGAATTATTTATGAATGTTCAGCTACTTCATCAACGCCTAGACATGATAAGCTTGTTTGGTCGTTAAACTTTTATGTTATTGAAAATACACTCAAGTTTGGCGACTGTAATGAGCTTTTAATTGATACAATTATATCTGCTAATAACGTGCTGAAAAGGTCGAATGACATCGATTTGTACTTTACGATTATTAATGTAAGTTGGAATTAATTTTAAAAATTATTATATTTTCAACGGTTTTTCTTGTTTTGAATTTTAACCGTCATTTTTATTTTGAAACTCTAAAATTTTTCTCCTCAAATTTCTTTAAATTTGAAATTTTTGTGAACGTTAAAATTTTAATTTATTATTTCTTTGTAGGGTCTCGAACGACTTATCATCGTAGACACAGAGAATCGACTATTCAGAGAAAAGATTGAGAAACTCTCGATTGACTTGATTAAAAATGAGAACAAAAACTTTGCTTTGGGTGGCTTGAAACTTTTAGTGACCTGCATGTACATTGGATCTTTAGAGCAACTTGAAAATACAGAAAAATCAAATGGAATCGTGCAAGATGAGCCAGAAATTGTGATGCAATACACAGAGAAAATTGATATTTTATTTGGAAAAATTAGAAATTCAACACAAGATGAAGCTGAGGTCTTTGGAAGAGTTTTGGGGCAGATTTTAAAAGATTTGTTGTCGCCGAATGAAATTCTGACTAAAATTATTAAGGAACTGCTGATTATGAACCAGTCCAATACGAATACTATCGCTATTATCATTCATCAAGTAAGTTATGGATGCAAAGAATGTGGAACTTAGATTAACAATTTTGTTTCTTTTTCAGGTATTCAGAACAGCAATTGACTCATCGTTCCTGCCACTCCTCCAAGAATGGTTGATATGCTCACTACCTAATTTCCTAAACTATCCAAACAATAAGAAATCAATTCAGTTCCTGACTCTAATTTTCATGTCATCAACCTTAAATCAGCACCTCCTTAAACTCTTCCCAATTATCATCGACGACGATATTTCAAATTCACAGCTTAATCGACTATTTATTGTTAGTGCTAAAGACTTTTATGGACGATTATCGAATAAACAGCAATTAGCTTTTCGTGACGCTTTTAGACTTTCTCGTATGCAATCGTCAACATCGCCAACAAAAATGTTTAATGAAAGTTTATTCCAAGGTTTATTGAAAAACTTATAAAGTATTGATATTTAATTACAGTTATTGATTATATCCTTATATTATGCAAATTATGCGACTATGCTTTGAACTATACAGACGTTATAATAATTTTTAAAAATTTCTTTCACAAATTAAATTGTGAGAAAATCCGTTTAAATAAAGAAAAAGTTTATTTTATTATCCTCAATTCGTCTTTTGTTAATTTTAGCAATTTTCAGATTTGAAATAATAACGGTAAAAAATAAAAACGTAAATTTGATTAAAAACGCCACAAATTTTCACATTTTCAATAGATATATACTTTTTTTTATTATAGGATAATTTTTGCTAGCAACAATTGAATGAATACCAGATGAGAGTAAATAGTAGACTATTTGTTCAGAATATAAAATATTAATTCCATTGTTATGTTAGAGTCACGAGATAAATTACTAGCTTGTCGATGAATTACAGAAATCAGTTCATTATCTAATGCGTTCATATAGATTGGCGAAAAAAGCAGCTTATTAGAGCCGGCCAAGTACTTAATCTGGAATCAAAAAGTTAATAAAATTTTAAAGTTATTTTTTGGAATTCAAAATTTTTCAATTTTTAACGAAGCTTTGGAATTCAAATTTTTGAAAACCGTTGAAAATTCAAAAAAAAATAGTACTTACATTTTCACCTAAGGTGACACGAATACCAATTCTTCTTAATTGATTGACAGCCATTAAATCTAAAAACGGAAGTAGAGCATTCCCACAAGCTTTAGCGATAGGTTCAGACAGTTTTGAATAATTTAAATGATCGTCAGTAACAGGTGCATCATCAGATTCCAATAAGAATACTTCACACCATCTCAATACTTTTGTATGACTTGTGCTCGTAATATCAAGTCTCGTTCTTATGCTTTCTTTGCCTTCAAATGATAAGTCATCAATAGGCGACGAAACACCGAGATTAAAACTCAAATCATCATCAACCCATTCAATTGACACAATTTCCTCGACCTCCTTTTGATCGTCGTCAATTGGTCCGCAAGGAATCTCAATGTTTTTCATATTTTTTAGTGCATCGCGAATACTTTGCATTTTTGTTGAAAATATTTGTATCATTAATCCATCCTCAACAATACTACATTTGCCTTTTAAACCGCTACTTTGCTTTAATGCACCATTAAGAATAAGAAAACTTGCTCCAGTTCTAATTCTACTCTGACCTTGAATGTTAATTGCTTGCGTTGAATATGATAGTGATTCTGAGGAACCTGCATCAATATTTTGTATACACACTAAGTGACCATCTGCCAGTCTACTAAAATCAGCTCCAAATGCTAAAAGACTGAAGGTAAAATTAAACGATTAACGGATATTGGAGATTCAAGTTTTAACGAAACTTTTTTTTGCGTAAAAGTTTCAAATTCAAAATAACCGTTATTTATGTAAAATTCAAAAATAATACTCACTGATCCGTAGAATTGTTTAAAACCTTCATGATTTGATCAAACCGGTTACGTGGAATAAAAACAGAGGTCTTTTTTTCTTCCATGTGGATATTAAGACCTTTAGTAATTTCAATTGTATACGAAAAGTTTCTAAAATCGACTAAAAAGTTCATTATCGTATTTCCTGCGAGTGAGGAATTAAATGACACAATTAGCTTGCGACGAATTAAATTAAGTTTAATTAAATTAATCAAGATTTACCGATTTCAGCGAATACAGGCTCACGATTGACATTTGATAAAATTGGTGTTGGATAATAACGGTAAAGTGCTGTAAATAATCAATTTGTTTGAAATCAAGAATTGTATATAAAATAAAATTCTTATCATTATTACCCCCTAGTCGTAAAATTAATCTAAGTGGGAACAGCCTGAAAATAAATCAATAGAATAAAATGAATTTCCAATATTAAATAATTAATTACCTCATCCACGGAACTTCCCACTTATGCACAAGCAGACCTATCAAGTACGGACTTTCTGGGATCGTTAAACTCTGCAAACACTGAAAAGTCGGTCTGATGTAAAGAAAACCTGCGATAAAAGCAAATATAATTAAATTAAGTCCTTCCCATGCACAAAACCACAAAAATTTACCTCCAAAAGCTCCCAAGAAATTGTTAGATATCGCCTGACTATAACCATACTCCTTAATAATCACATTACTCTTATCAGCTTTGCTGTAAATTTCATTCAAATGTAAAAATACTTCCTTCGGTAAACTTTTCATGTCATCATTAAGTTCCAATAAAATCATTATCTCATCCTGTCGCACGGCCAATAAGCCTGATGTTGAAATATTTATAACAGTTTTGTTGGTACAACAAATTACTATGAAAACGAGAAAGAAAAGAGAAAATGATGATTAGTAGAACAATTATCGTTTTTTGTTGAAGATTATTACTGAGAAAATGTGAGTTGAATGATTTATGGCATGACTTTCGTGGTTATTTAATTTTTAAGGGGATTCTAAGATTTATATTAAAACCTTACAACAGTTTTGAAATTCAAAAGGCTTGTTTCAAAAACCTTACAACAGTTTGATTTTGTACAGCTTTCAACAATTTATTCAAAACCTCACAACAGTTTGATTTTGTATAGCTTTCAACAATTTATTCAAAACCTTACAACAGTTTCAAGAATAAACCTTTGTAGAGCTTAAACAATCAGTCTTAAATTTCAAAAATACGTTAAAATCATTATATCAACATTAGCATCAGCAAAAACTAATAAAACCAAGACATTACTTACATGTGACAATTTTAACAGTAACGTAAAAGTTTTTCGTGATTACAAATTTCAATTCCTCTTGCCTGAGACGTTGAAGTAGTAACAAATTATTGTCAACGTACTTATATTCACTTTCTTTGAGTAAAATTGGCGGTAATTCGTTTTCCAGTTCAGGGATATAGCTATTGTTCTTTTCGTTAAATTTTAATTTTGGTTTCTCATAAGATGTACGTGATGTTGTGGTACCAAATGTTTCGTCTAAATCAGTTCCTGGGCGTATTCCGTCGCTAAACATAACGCTTTTTCTTTCCGCCGATTTAATTGGATTTGCTGTAGGTCTTTTAAGAACTCCATTTTTAGGTACCATGACAGTTAATGGGGACGTTTCTTCGATTTGCTGATGTACTGGTAATGTACTACAATATTCGCTAGGATTAGCTGGATTAGGATGTTTTGGTTGTGACTGTTGATTTAATTTTGATTTAACTAAAATTTCATGGCATGGACTACATATCCTGCCTTCTGCTTGCAAATAATCAAGGAAAAACTTTTCATTACAACATGCTGAGCACAAAAGTAAGCCACAAGCTCGACAATGATGTCTCCTTTTAATTAATGAGAATTTCTGGTCACATTGCATGCACTGATTTGTCATATTATCAGGTATCCAGTATGGTGGAACTTTCCCTAAATCCGGTTGCGAAGTTAAACTTCCAGTTGAATTCGATTCATTTATGGAAAAGTCTTCATTTGATTGAGATGGTAAGCACTGGATTGAAGCTGACTCATCTGTAGAGCTTGTTGACAATACTGGATCTACTTCATTACTTTCTTCTTTTGGAATTGGCTCTACTGCTTCTTGTGCTTCAGATATTTCTGAATCTTGATGTTCAGTTTTGATTGTTTCTTGTGGATCACTTGTTGGTTCAATTACTTCGCTAGATTTGGCACCTTCGTCAGTTTCAATAGCTTCAATTTCTACCTCCTTAATTTCTTCCTGGATCTCTATAATTTCTGTAGGCTTATCTACTTCCTCTGTAATTTCTGGGCTATTTTTCTCTACAATTTCGAGAGTTTTTTCAACCGTTTCTGCAAGTTTAACGACAACCTCTTCTTCCTGGATTTTTTCAAGGCTTCCATCAATCAAAGAAGCTGCTAATAAGTCGTCTAATTCCTGTTCTAAAGATTCAAGCTCTGCGTCGGAAATATCGTCCATTGTTGACTCAAAATTATGTGACATCTCCTTAATGTCAATTGGCTCTTCTACAACCTTTTCTTGCACGACAGGCTCATGGACTATATTTACTTCATTATCAATGATATTTTTTACTTCCTCTGGCTTATCGATTTCCAATTCTTCGGGTTCTGGATCGTATTCCGTTAAATCAACGGTCTTCGTTAATGTTAAATCGCTTGTAACTGGTTGATCCGGTTCACCTTCCTCACTAATTAGTCGCTTTGATGATTCATCGATGTCGAATTGAGAAACATTTAAAGGAATTTGGTCACTCTTTCTTATCTCATCATCTTCGCTTTGAATTTCATTACTATTAATGCTGCTGCTACTCGTTGTGTCTGTCGCTGATGAACTCGTCAATATAATACTCGATGTTGCGGTGATTTTATCATCCACACTAATTGATTGATAATTTTCAAGGAGATTAAAAGATCGACTCTCCATTTCATCGTTTATTTGATATTTTGCTGTGCTGGTTTCCTCATCCTCCGTCTTACTTTCATTTTTTAAAGATAACAAAGTTGATTCCGACAACTCTGTAACAACGCAATTGCGAAAACAAAAGAAGAGAACTGTAATTGTCGAAAAATACGTCTCTAGCTTAAATTTTTTGTTTCAAAACCAAACAAATGTTTTCAATATTGACATAATTTGTATGGTTTTGAAGCACATCCAGCAATTAAGTGCAGTGAAAGTCAATCTCTGGGTCCTTTTGTTGACTGAATCTGAATTTTAAAACTTGAAACTGCTTCGCAATTTCACAATAGAACAAAAAACAACTTACCTTTATTGTCGATTGACAAATCTTCATAAATAATGGTTGACGTATTCTTTAAAGTCGAAACATTCCCGTTCTCCTCTTTTTCGCTCTCCTGCTGCAATACACAGTCTTGATTATGCTTTTGCTGTTGTTGTTGCTTTGTAATTTCATTATTTTGTATTTGACTTTGTGTTTCTGTGTTAATAATTGGAAAAGTTTCTTGATTTTCATTTTCCTCATTCTCTAGCCTATCTAATGCACTATCAATATCAAATATATAAAGTTGTTTATTATCTCCCATCTCAAGGATATTTATAATCGTTAATTAAAGCACTAAACTAGACATTTGATTAAAAATTTATTAAAATCAAAAATTGCAAAAACCAATGGTTGATAATCCCCTAGCAGGGGACTGTTGACTGATCTTTGATGGTTGCAGGATTTCAAAATAAATTCAACCGTTAGCTTTTGATAATTTCTATAAATTAATTAAATTTATTTCATTCAACTTTCTACTTTAATTAATTATTCTATTTTGGCTACTTTCACTTCTATTTTTGGATCTTTTGACTCTGGCTCCTTTGGTTCCTCCGTCTCTTTCTCAAAGTCAGCTAGATTCACTTTTGTTGTGCCCACTTTCAAGTCATGCTCATCTAGCATTTTATGTTTGAATGATAATTCGGTTCCTTCAAGCTGCATGTGAAATCCTTCTTTATATGCATTCGTACGTTCATTTTTCCATTTATATTGCCAGTATCTTACTTCCTCCATTGTTGTTCCCGACATTTTTAACAGTCCAATAGAAAGTCCTCCTGCAACTAAGCCTAAACCACCACCAACTGCTGCTCCTGCAGTCATTCCTTTTGGACCCATCTAAAATAAATTTTGCATGACTTAATGTCCATTACTGGATCATATCTAGTACCTACCTTCCATTTATATAGAGCTCCAGTTGTCATTCCACCGACTATATACTCAAAGATTGTGAATTTATTTCTATAAACGGATATAGTTGTGGATATACCGACATACATTGTAGCAAAAACGCCCATCCTCCATCCAAACTTCCAGCCACCTTTAAAGAAACTCATAACAACTGATTCCTGGATCTTCTTTTTAGCGTCTATATGAGATGCAAATGCTGTCGCTTGATTCCTCTCCATAAAATTCATATATGCATTTTTAGAGCCGAGAAATCCTACAAAGATTAACTTCCAGTAAAGTTACTTTGAAATTAAAAATAGATTTAAGTCACCTCCATAGCACATTCCCGTAAATAAGCCTAAGAATCCAGCATTATAGATTGAATGCAACTCCGGTGATATGCTGTCATACTCGTCTAATTGAAACATCATCTTTAATCTGTCTATTCCAGTTTCTGTGTCTATTTCCTTATATCTTTCGAAACTTTTGGACGTTTTAATCTCTGGATCAATGACATCTTGATCAATTACAGTGTCTATAGGTCCTGCGATTGCTAGTCCATATGCTGGAAACCGTACGTATCTTAGAACTTTAGAAAACATTTAATTTACCTTACTTTAAATATCTACAAAAGCCCCAGAGTCAGGGCTTGGCAAACTTTTGTTTACATTTTACTAAAGTAAAGATTTACATGCAATTTTATTAAATTAACAGTTAAAATGTCTTTGACAGCAAGAGCCTCATTTATTGGATGTTGTATAGCTAGTGTTTCTATCATAGGATTCGTGCATTATCAACAAAGTACAGATAGGTAAGTTAATAAATGAATTTACAAAGATCCAGTCGAAATTTTTCTGAATTACAATTAATTTCTTATAAGCCGGTATAATTAATGAATAAATTCATCATTACTGCCTTATGAACCTTGAACGATACAAGTTCCATCATTAATTCCCTGCTAAAAATCATTAAATTCATAAATTATATAATTAAACCAAATTTTACTTCCAGAGCAAAGTTAAAGGAAGGCGTATACCGAGATATAGAAAGACAAGCTGTTAAACAACAATTGACAATTAACACATATAATTTAAATCAACAAAAGGAAATGGAGAAGATACTTAGGAAGGAGCAAGCAATTCAAGACGAAGCATTACAGAATTAAATGGTTGGAATTAGAAAGTTTTAATAAATTTAGGAAGCTATTTGCAGCTATTTGTATAAAATAAGGCACGAGTATTTTTCATAACGACCAAAACTGTTACTTAATAAACTTATTTTCTAATAACAATATAGCACATTCAGCCTTGAATATAGAGCAGAACAGTTAACATCAGAATACCGTTGTCCACAAGTGCTTATTTAGTTATATTATAATAATTCCAAGGATTTTTGCTTGACATTCACGAAATGTTCTGCGAATTTTTATCAAGCTCAATAATGTAATAATTAATACCGACGTAGTTAATAGAGTGGCGTCATACCTTTTTCGCTAACATACAGAACTGTACAGAACACTCATTTAATTCAAATAAACTCGCAGAAATTTGCATAACTAGCTAGTTGAAAGGATGGATATTGCGTGACAGAGCTGGAAGTTTGGTGAAGTCATTTTGATGAAAATAGAACTGCAGAGAAATTTTTGTTTTGCGTTGTTTTAATTTTTAATATGATTTTTTGTTTGGAAAGTTTATGGAAATTGCTGATTGTCAAATTTCCCAATTTTTCATTAATTACGTGTAGGAAGCTGTCAAAAAAAAATTATAAGTCTTTATAAAAAGAACTCAACAAAGTCGCGATTTATTAAAAAAATTAATGAAAAATTTGGGTTTGGGGAACAGAAAACAGAAAAACAGCTGTTTTTCGACAAAAATCTGTTAACAGAAAACAGGTCTCAAAAACAGATCTGTTTTTTGTTTTTCATTTTTACATATAATTTACAGAAAAAAAAAATTTCTTAATTTTTTGAAGAACTCTAAGCCTTACTAAAAGCCTAGAAATAGCAAATAGTTTTGAAATGAAGTTTTTCAAAATTTAAAACGTGTGCAACTAATAAATCACGTTTTTTTATCATTTTTGTCATTGGCAAAATTTGAGTTCACGTGATGCAGGATAGAGGATGCAGGGTTTTTTTGCTTTTTTGGAAGCAATGGCTGTTTCTACCTTACCGAATAAAAAAATAAAGCCTTATCCTTTTTAACGTTGCAAGAATTAGAAGTCTCTAAGATGCCTCGTTATTGAGATTTTTGCTGATTAACTTGCCTTGATGCTTGTTTGCTTACGTATTATGTGATTTTCCCATCAATGCTACAGCCAATTTAAATTCTGTTTTTGCCCATTTGCTTTTTTTCCTCAAAATGCGAAAAACTGTTTTTCAAGCTGAACAAAAATAAAGTGAATACGGTGTGAATATAAAATCTATTTTAGGATATAAATTTTTTTATATTCACACCGTTTTCACTTGTGAATCTATTGGTTTTGTTCAGATTGAAAAATCAGTTTTTCGCATTTTGTGAGAAAACGAAGCAAAATTGGTCATAAAAGGCCCAAAAAAAAAGTTTGTGCCTGAAATTTTACATCATTTTCAAAAAACGGATTTCAAATTGGTTGTGGCATTGCTGAGAAAATCGCAAAATACGCTTTCTGTAAGCAAGCAAACAAGCAAGTTAATCAGCAAGAAATCTCAATAACGAGACATCGTAGAGACTTCTAGTTTTTTACATTTGATCCGTGCTGCTCTATAGAAGAGCTGTATTGTTTTTGGGCAAGGTAGGAACAGCCGTTGCTTCAGAAATAGCAAAAAACTTTTTCTTTCTTACGAATTTTTCAAATTAAAAGTTCACTGTGATTTTTATAAAATTCAACTTTAGATGAAAAATTTTTTTTTAAAAACTTTTAAAGAATGTTCGTTAAGCTTTAGACCTTCAAACGTATGCTGAGCGAAGCTCTGTTGACTTATCAAGCTTCAAACCTTCATACTTATGCTGGGCAAATCTTGGTCTTTCCATAAGACTTTTGATGATACGGTGTGAATAAAATCCGCATTGGGTTTCTACCCGATACACTAGTTCTGACAGGTTTTATTTTAAGCTTTTCTTTAAAAGAGCTCAAGTTTGAAAAAACTTACAAAATATTACGTTTGAATTTTGAACGAATTACTTTAATTATTTGCTGAACATTTTCAATAAATTTGTGGCCATCAGTTTGTTTAAGTAACCCTGTATATGCTTTCTCGAAATCCCGGTCCCGACAAATTTTCGGGATCGGGATCGGGATTGAAATTTTTCGGGATTTCCCGGGAAATCCCGGGAATCCCGAATATGTAAAAAAATTTAAAAAACAGCATTTTTCTGCTTTTTTTCCCAAAAAAAATTATATATTTTTTTGCTACTTGTACGGTCATTTATTCCTTAATTAATTAGTTATACTTTATGTGTTACAAGGTAGATGTTTTAATCCATGTTTCCTTTGAAAAATGTGAACATAAACAAAAATAGAAAATAAATGTTGATAAAGATGTAAGTTAAAAGGTTATAGAAAACGGTGTGAATATAATAATAAAAATTAAGCATTAATGAAAAACCTTTTAACAAATGCAATTGCATTTAGATTCTTGTCAAGTAAACGTTTTCTTTGTTTTGTAAGAATTTTGTTACTAATAGAGAAATTTCGTTCGCTTTGAGTTGAGGTCGGCTGCATTGTTATCAATGCATCGTAAAGTTGATCTAATAAAACGGTTCTCTTCTTATTTTTGTCACACCAATTAAACTCTCTTTTCAAGTTATTTGGTTCTGTTGCTGCTGCATCTGTTGTTAATGATGTATATTCAAATATGCTGATTTCAGTCTATCTCGAATAGAAATGTTTGACGGTTGGATTTGATTTGCACTGGATGTTGAAGCTTCCATAGCTCCATTTGTAGAGTTTTTGACAAAATACTTCTTCAATAAGTCAATGCCAAGTTTATGTATTGCAGCTTTTGTTGACGATTTAAAATGCTTGTCTAAAGAAATATATTGAGGATTATTCAGGTAAAGTATTAAGTCAATTAATGTTCCATTTCTTCGTGCACCTATGCGAGCGCAATTCATATCGTAAACCTTTTGAGACAATAATGTTCCTTGTAGCAACAATTCGTCTAGCAAAAAGTTAATTGTTCCTTCAGCAATTAATAAATCGTTTGATTTACGCAATAATTCTTCTGTCGCGTATTTAGCAGGTTCTAAAACATCAATAATTTCCTAAACTAAAAAACCGGGATTTTCAATCCCGATCCCGATAAATTTCGGGATCCCGGGATTGATCGGGATCGGTAAATCCCGGGAAATCCCGATCCCGATCCCGATAGCGAGAAAGCATAACCCTGTACACCTGAATAATCAGAATAATTTCGAAATTTTGAGATTATAAACAATCAAATCTCTTAAATGGTCTAAAACCATTGGAAACCTTCTTAGGGCTTGTAGACACGGTTAAACAGCATCAGAACTGCCACAATTTTAATATTCTAGTTAATTTAATAAGAATTTGAGCAACAGAATTTTAATTTTGCGTGTTTTTATGTTTAAATCTTTACATTTTTCTTAGCAAAATGTGTAAACAAATATTATGATTAGATTTATAAATCTAATTTTGTTAAGGGCAATTTACAATTATTTGAATGACTTGAAAAATTTCAGGAAAGCATCGAAAATTTATTATTTTGCCCATTAGAGGTTAACATATCTACTCCTAAACATTTGAACAAAACTGTGATTTTTAAACAGTTGAATGAATGAAGCGAAACAAAACGGAATTACAGCTACATTTTCTTTAAACATTCGAGCGAATCTCGAATATAATTTTATATGGAATAGCTAACATCTTTAGAACAGTTAAACCCACTTGAACCCACCTTGATTTTATTTTTTAAACAATTTGGAATAATATATTTCTAAAAAGCAAACATTCAACCAATACCTATTAATGTTTTTTTATATTCACACCGTTTTCACGTGTGAATCTATTGGTTTTGTTCAGATTGAAAAATCAGTTTTTCGCATTTTGTGAGAAAACAAAGCAAAATTGGTTATAAAAGGTCACAGATGAAAAGTTTGTGCCTGAAATTTTACATCATTTTCAAAAAACAGATTTCAAATTGGTTGTGGCATTGCTGAGAAAATCGCAAAATACGCTTTCAGTAAGCAAACCAGCAAGCAAGCAAGTTAATCAGCAAGAAATCTCAATAACGAGACATTGTAGAGACTTCTAGTTTTTTACATTTGATCCGTGCTGCTCAATAGAAGAGCTGTATTGTTTCTGGGCAAGGTAGGAACAGCCGTCCAAAATTGAAAATGTATTTTCTTCTTGGTTCTTTGCTCAAAAAAATTTTAGGATGTTTTACTTGTATTTGTTTTAAGCACTAGAATATTTATGCAAAATTTCAATCCATTTGGATAAACCCTCGAAGAAAAAAGTGACAAAATTTATTTTGACTAGGGTCGCCCCTAGTCCAAAATTGAAAATGTATTTCCTTCTTGGTTCTTTGTTCAAAAAAATTTTAAGATGTTTTATTTGTATTTGTTTTAAGCACTAGAATATTTATGCAAAGTTTCAATCCATTTGGATAAACCCTCGAAGAAAAAAGTGACAAAATTGATTTTGACTAGGGTCGCCGCTAGTCCAAAATTGAAAATGTATTTCCTACTTGGTTCTTTTCTCAAAAAATTTTTAGAATGTTTTTTTTTTGTATTTGTTTTAAGCACTAAAATATTTATGCAAAGTTTCAATCCATTTGGATAAACCCTCGAAGAAAAAAGTGACAAAATTTATTTTGACTAGGGTCGCCCCTAGTCCAAAATTGAAAATGTATTTCCTACTTGGTTCTTTGCTCAAAAAATTTTTAGAATGTTTTTTTTTTGTATTTGTTTTAAGCACTAGAATATTTATGCAAAGTTTCAATCCATTTGGATAAACCCTCGAAGAAAAAAGTGACAAAATTTATTTTGACTAGGGTCGCCCCTAGTCCAAAATTGAAAATGAATTTCCTACTTGGTTCTTTGCTCAAAAAAATTTTAAGATGTTTTATTTGTATTTGTTTTAAGCACTAGAATATTTATGCAAAGTTTCAATCCATTTGGATAAACCCTCAAAGAAAAAAGTGACAAAATTTATTTTGACTAGGGTCGCCCCTAGTCCAAAATTGAAAATGTATTTCCTTCTTGGTTCTTTGCTCAAAAAAATGTTTGGATGTTTTACTTGTATTTGTTTTAAG